TATAGACATGATTTCTATAATCTGAATGAAACAGTATGCAAGCAGGAATTCACACACACATTGGACCATACCATTTCTATAGGCATGGTTTGTAACGGAACATAATTGGAGCCAAACATCGAGCCTATGGACATGGTTGCTAACACATAATGATCGAACACAATAAGACACTTAGAAGCATGACTTATAACATATAACATCCAACATTACATCATTAACCCTATAGGCAGGATTTCTATCCCCCCCACCCACTTTATAGCAAGTATAAAATAAGAACCCTTTCCCATTTTTACTAATACCCCAGAATTGTTATTACAAATAATTATTACCGACCAGAATTTAATGAATGAATTACAAGGTAAGTAAAACTATAAGGAGCCTACAGTAGGCCCAAATACACCTGGACAGGCCAGGCCTTCAACTCACAGTAGTTCCAAAAACCCATATTCATAGATACACAATAACCAGTAGTGAATGATTCACCCATATTTCAAGGATAAGCATACAGAACCCAAATCTCTAGTGTGTTAGAGTTCCCAAGGGCTTCAGGAACCCAGGGCAGTGCTCACACTAGATAAAATGATCAGAAACAGTTCAAGGAAGACTAGGGACCAAATCCTAGTGTGTTAGAGTTCACAAGGGTCTCACATGAATCCTGAGCAGTGGCTCACACTAGGGAGGCCAGAGGACAGAACCTAAATAGCTTTGGCTTTCAGCCAGCAAAGAATGAGGATTCAGGAGAGTAGGATGGGATTAGGGGATACACTTAAGGACAGAATCACATATAGAGCATGTATAAATAAATAGCAAACATATTTGATCCTAAGCATACTTAATTAAGTTTTTTAAGAATTAACAAAGTCACATGCTAATAAGGCCAGTTCATAAACATATTCATAGTGATAACAGAGACTTCAGATCAGGCTAAGTCCTAGAAAGAAAATACATTGATTAGCAGTAGGAACTGATTAAGACAATCTAGTAGAGGTATCATAACATAGTGTGAATAGAACTAAACATGCCGTAACAAGTTCAACAAACAAACATTATAAATCTATTAAGGCACACATCTATACATGGCTAAAGACATATGAAAGCATGTTTAACTCTAAAAGATAGTCCTCAATAACACAGAATTAGGCAGATTTCATTAATCAATTCAAACTAAGTTCGACATATCGTAACTACAAGTAAAGAGCAGAAGATTCAATAACTCACCGGTTATGATGAAACAGGGAAGAAAAGAATCCAACAGTGTAGCAAATATCACCAAACATAAGTAGAACTTAGAAATTTCTGGCCTTGGCTTTCAGCCGGCCAGGAATCAAAGCACAGAGTAAAATTACTCTAGAGAATAGGAGTATACAGCTTTTGTTTATAGTAGTGAAAGGATCTTTCGAACTTAGAACCTCTCTCTTTTTTTTCAAAGGGGAGTGGGGAGGGGTTTAAATAGTGCAGAGGTTAGAGCATAGAAATAGCTAATTTAAATACTAAAGGCAAGTACTTAAATCAGTAAAATTGAACCCTAAATTTTAGGTGAAGATACACAAAATCAGTAGGAAATAAGGTAAAGAATCATATAGGCATATAATGAACAAACAAAAGATTATTATAAAAAAGGAATACTGAATCGAACCAGATTTGGTTCAAGTAAAAGGGTCTGAAACCCTAAGTTAGGTAAATCACAAAATAGGCAGAAAATAAAGGCAAGAATCACATATTAACATAAAAATAAACATAGGTAAGAAATTATTCAAAAAGAAACCTAGAATCGAACCAGATTTGGTTCAAGTAAAAGGGTCTGAAACCCTAAATTAGGTAAGTGAAGGGAATCGACAAAAATAAGCAGATTCATAAGTAATAGAATGAATATATGCGAAAAAATACTAGAAATCAGAGTTTGAACCAGTTTAGGTTCGAATCAAAGAAAAATATGGAACCCTAACCTTTAGGGTTTAATGTGAATCAATGAGATATGAGAGAATCGTTACAAAATAACGTGCTTGGACTCAAGGTTGTCGAGATTCAAGAGAAAAATATAGATTTGAACAGAATCAAAGCGGGGTACTTGCCATATTTAGGCAAGTACCTAAGTTACTCTGTGACATAGCACCAAATAAGGGAAAACACCGAAATGGCAAGGGAATAGGGAAAGAATCCCATTAGGAACGGGATTTGGGGGGATTTGGGTGAGGCGGCAGAATTAGGGTTCATCAGTAGAGGGGAAATAAGGGCGGTGGGTTTAGGGAAATGAGGGTTAGGGTAGAGAAGAGGGAGATATAAGGAAAGAGGGTGGTTATTTGTGGGCCGTTGATCATCTTTGATCAACGACCGAGATTTAAACGGACTGGGGTCGGGTTTTAATGAATGGTTAAGGGTAATTGGGTTAGGAGTATTGGGCTTGGGCTGGTTTGGTAATTTTGGATAGTCTTAGGTCCGAAATTAATTTAAAAAATGGGGCCAGATTTTAAATACCCAAATTTAACCAATAAAATAATTTGTAAAAATAATAGATAAATAATAAAAATATCATTTGTGCATAAAAATGATTGAAAATAAATATTCAACATTATAAAAATATAAAAAGGTTATGTTTGCATAAATAAAGTAATTATAAGTACATATAGGCTATTATTGTAAAAATATGTAATTTTAGCCTTTAAAATGCAAATATAATTATAACAAATATACTAAAAATATTTAAAACCTAATATGGGTGTAAATTATGGGTTTAGATGATAAAATAATCATAAAAATTATTTGTAAGATAGTTAATGGGTATTTATATAATAAAAATGCGGAAATAAATTGATTTAAAGTCTTTAAAAATTATGAAAA